AAAGGTCAAAATACCATCTCAATCATCACTAAGTTTGTAGCATTGTTGTGCTTTCATAGCTAAAGGTTCAGAAAAACTGTCTTAATAAATCTATGATTATGAAAATGGGGTGATGACATGCAAGGTGGGCTCACTTGCTGGGAATAACCAAGGATATTTTACCAAAAATTCTCCAAAATATTTTACTGGAATATGTTAGATATATAAATCAAACTTGAGCTCAAAGATTCCTTTTTAATATCTTTTTGCAAAGATGGAAGTGAGAAAGAGGTCTTTATGAGTTTTCAGGCAAGATCTTCAACTGCAATAATATGAAATTATAAGCTACCTCATACAACAGACTGGAATAATATTTGAGGTTTCCCCTACATTTGAAACTTAACTTTTCTTTGAGAACTTTCCAACTCAAGAAAGTAAAGACTTTTAAGTCTACAGATAATTGCTTGTTATTTAAGTTTTACTTCAAATCATCAGATATGTTTGCCAAATGTGCGAAGCTCTGTAAAAATTAGAGTTTTTATTGTAGTAAAACACATAAAAGTTATCATTAGTGATATTTAGTACATTCACTGTGTTGTACAAGTGCCACCTCAATTTAGTTTCAAAACCTCTTCACCCCAAAAGGAAACTGAGCACACTTTAAGCAGTCATCTGCCTCTGGGAAACACTAAGCTGCTTTCTGTCCCTAGGGATTTGCCTATTCGGGATATTTAATAAATGGAATCGCATGATATGTGTCTGGCTTCTTTCCCTTGGCGCAGTGTTTTGAAGGTTCATCTATTTTGTAGCATGTATCGGTATTCCATTTCTTTTATGGCTGAATAAGAAATTATAATTTTTAAAGTTTTTGCAGTTGGTCTTTTCTCAGGTGCTCCAAAAATAGAATACTATTATCATTTATTTTATAAATCTAGCCAAAGGTATTTCTTTTTGACAACCAATGAATTTCAACATAACAGAAAACTTTCAGTTCTTATCATTTAAATCTTCACAAAGCAGATCAAATAATCTGATGTTTAAAATACTTGCCACATGATACTCTTGCCTTGATAATCAAGCAAGGTTAGGGTCTTCACCTAAACCAGTGAGCATTATTTTAGAAGCCACTAATTATTAACAGTGAATGACACTGTATATCCAAAACCAGAAATCTTGATGGTGAGCCCAAGCCTTGCTGGACTGAAATGCCGTCACGATACACCTGGGTCATTTCTTCCGGTTTGCTTTACAGAATTTTGTTATTATCAGTTTCATGCTACTTTCCAAATGTTTTCTTCTGTGTGTTGTACTGCATATGGCAATCAAAACAGTAATTGAACAGTTACAAGTTTTCATTGTTTGAAAAAAAATTAGGACACTGAGTTTGATCTTTTTCAAAACTTTTTTTTAATTGACATGGAGTCTCACTCTGTCACCTAGGCTGGAGTCCAGTGTCGCAATCTCAGCTCACTGCAGCCTTCGCCTCCAATGTTCAAACTATTCTCCTGCCTCAGCCTCTTGAGTAGCTGGGACTACAGGCCTGTGCAACCATGCCCAGCTAATTTTTGTATTCCTAGTAGAGATGGGGTTTTACCATGTTGGCCAGGATGGTCTCAATCTCTTGATTTCATGATACGACCACCTCGGCCTCCCAAAATGCTGGGATTACAGGCGTGAACCACTGTGCCGGCCTCTTTTTCAAAACTTTTTTTTGGATGTCTTCTAAATCACCTCTCTGATATTTCTTCTATGTTCTGGAATTTATTCTGTATTCTTTTGTCCAGTATATTTAAAATTTGAAAGTTACGTAGAATCCAAGGTTTCTCCAAAAGTAGGAGATTTGTTTCTTAGTGATGAAAATTATCTTTTTATTACATTTTCTCAGACACGGCTCATAATAATAGATATTTTACTACTATAATCTTCTCTGAATTTAATATGATTGTCATTGTTGTGATTAAGTGGGTAATGGAAGACAGTGTGGCGATTCCTCAAGGACCTAGAAATAGAAATTCCATTTGACCCAGCAATCCCATTACTGGGTATATATATCCAAAGGACTATAAATCGTTCTACTATAAGGACACATGCACACGAATGTTCATTGTAGCACTGTTTACAATAGCAAAGACCTGGAATCAACCCAAATGCCCATCGATGATAGACTGGACAGGGAAAATGTGGCACATATACACCATGGAATATTATGCAGCAATCAAAAACGATGAGTTTGTGTCCTTTATAGGGACATGGATGAACCCGGAGAACATCATTCTCAGCAAACTGACACAAGAACAGAAAATGAAATACTGCATGTTCTCACTCATAGGCGGGTGTTGAACAATGAGAACACATGGACACAGGGAGGGGAGTACTACACACTGGGGTCTGTTGGGGGGAATAGGGGAGGGACAGCGGTGGGTGGGGAGTTGGGGAGAGATAGCATGGGGAGAAATGCAAGATATAGGTGAAGGGGAGGAAGGCAGCAAATCACAGTGCCACGTGTGTACCTATGCAACTATCTTGCATGTTCTTCTCATGTACCCCAAAACCTAAAATTCAATAAAAAAATAAAAACATTAAAATAAAATAAAAATAATAATATTGGACAATGGTTCATGCCCACTATCCCATCACTTTGAGAGGCAGGAGGATCACTTGAGGCCAGGAAGGAATTCAAGACCAGCCTAGGCAACAACAAGACCCTGACACTACAAAAAATAAATTAAAAAATTAGCTGGCTGTGGTGGCACTCACCCGCAGCCCAAACTACTTGGGAGGCTGAGGTGGGATGATTATTTGAGCCCAGGAGTTTGAGGCTGCAGTGAGCTATGGTTATGCCACTGCACTTCAGTCTGGCCAACAGAGTGAGAGTCTCTTTAAAGAAAAAAATTTGTTTGACAAAAAAATATTTCAGGAACCATATTTAAGACAGATTAAAGTAGGGAGACATTGGAGGTAGGAAAACCAGCTAGATATTTTAGAAATTTAGGTGTTATTAAAAGTCCCTTAAGGGCAAGAACTGTGGTGGTGGTGTGTTACTCATCTATGTTGTATTGTTCACTCTTTGTATGATTTGTGATATATGGTATAGGCTTATAGTTATTTTATGCCATTTGTGGAACATAGCAGAAACACAAGTAATGGATAAGCAAATTAATTATTCTTATTGTTGAAAGACAGCTGAAGACCTACACTACTGTGGTGGCAGTGAAAAATCAAAAGACTGGAAGAAGATGGGGCAGAGTTAGAGGGCTAAATAAAGGACTAATATGGAATGCACCAAGAGAGTTAAACAGACTCCAAAACTGAACACTGTGGAAACTAGAAAAGAGAAGGTGATGATAAGTAGCAGTTAAGAAGGCAATGTGTGTTCATTTTTTTTGAGGGGAGAGCTACACACAGGGTATAGCTGGTATTACTAGGTATTGGAGCAAGAAATAATTGGAAAATACTTCTAGGCCGTAGGATTTTTGTTTTGTTTTGTTTTGTTTTTGGTCAGAGCTAGCTGAGGACCAAAAGAAAAAGCGATTGAATTGTTATGCAGCTGGAGGCATGGGCAAGGGGGGGTCCCCAGGCAATAAACTCCCCTGCAGGTGGGCTGAGGGCTAGGGCTGAGCCTCAGGTGGGTCTCCTGTTCTCCGTGCTCCCCTGCACAGAGGCTTCCCTCCAGGGCTCTGGGGCAGCCTCAGGAGGGGCAGGCTGGGAGGGGCCACTGCAGCTTTTCACTTACGCAAGAAGTCGAAGGACTTAGATGCCAGCTTCCCATCAGACACCAGCTGCCTATTGCGGGTCTCAATCTTCTTCACAACTATAGCCCTGGTGTGCTGGTGGTGCTGGTGGTGCTGGTGGTGCTGGTGGTGCTGGTGGTGCTGGTGGTGCTGGTGGTGCTGGTACAGCTGAACGATTTGGAGCCCAGGCTGTAGCTGAAGCTGGGGCTTGTGAGGACCCCATAAGGCCGCCGGGTTTTAAAAATGTAAATTTGGGAGCTATTTGCATGTGATTGGTTAAATCATGATGTGGATGGATTCTAAGATTAAACTTTTGTGGATGTCTTCTAATGAGACTAAGAATAGGCTTGATTGTATCATTTTAGGTTTTTTCAAAAACTGAATCTCTGTTTAAATAGTGCTGTATTAAGTAAGAATAAATTCTACCAGGAATGCTAATAATCTGTCCACATTCTTCATTGCAGTGGAGTTTTGCTTGAATTAGGCTACCAGAATTTTACTATGGATATTTTTATTATAATAGGATTTGTGGCACATTTGAAGCCATTATGGCAAACTCAGTTTAGAAAAAAGTTACAAAGAGGAAGGCAAAAATTATTTTGAAGGACACATTTATAGACAAAATGACATGGTTGCAGGACAATAGCAATAGAAAATCTTACAGGTAGATTCTCTATATAGCAGCCATTGTTGCAAGCCAACAAGTAATTACATCTGTAATGTCTCATTGGTTTTATTTCAATGTTTTTAACCTCAGTTCCATTCACAGGTAACAGTAGCACCGCCAGTCACATGTCCTAAATATTTGAAAATTAGAAAAGGATTCTAGAAATTCTATCATTCATTTTATAGTTGTACAGAAAATTTGCCATAAAACTGAAAACCTCATAGCCAGTTAATGGTTAGACGAAGACTAAATAATAAAGTTTCTCTTGACTCCTGGTTCAGTATTTGTCCCGTAACTACTGTAAAACTCTCCTTCTTTAAATGTGATTAAAAATGAGAAGCTTTTGTCTGACTATTGGTCTATAATTTTACTTATGCCTATGATATAAGAACTAATAGGGAAGTACCATTTTATTAAATTTTTGCACTCAATAAATTTATTCGAACAACCTAATTGTGTTATTTTAGTGACGAGAAAAAATGCCTAGATTTTGTTTTATTTGGCAAATGATTCATCTGTTTTAAATTTAAACAGTAATTAACTTTTAGGGAGATGTTAGTAAATTTTGTTTGGGGAAAAATGAGTGTTTTTTAAAAATAATCTTTTTAATTCTTTGTAAATAGCAAGAAGTTGAGAAGTTTACAGACCTAGAGAAACTCTACCTCTACCTTCAGCTGCCTTCTGGTCTCAGCAATGGAGAGAAAAGGTATATCTATTCTTGGTTTTGTACAATTATGTTGTTTATAGGAAGTCCCTAGGATATATGTGATGGGTGTGTATGTTGTGGTTGTTAGTTTTTACAATATTCCTGAAATCATTAGAAAACATGATGGCAAAACAATACATCATTTTAGTCCTTGATCATATTTGGTTAAGTATTTACTTGTAGTTTTTGCTAATTTATTTTTGCAACTGGGTAGATGCTATGACATGCAATTTGGGTTTTGTTTCCTAGATGGATGAATATGTTTATGCGTATGTGAGGGATTGTGAAAATTAAACAGAAAACCAAAGAATAAACAGATAGGTATTGTAAGGAATAAGGTATGAGTCTTTTTAGGTACTATCAGGTAAACACATCAGAGAATATAAAACAGAAAATAAAGTGAAACTGCCTTACGAAACATGAATTCATGATAAATGGAAGGTGTGTTAAGTACTTGGGGTATTACTTATAGTTTCATCATTAAAAAATTTAGAAAATGTGGAGAGAAGTTGTTCATTCAGTCATTCTATATTTTTAAGTTTCCTTAACCTTTTAAGTATTTCTCAGAATTCATTTTATTCATACAAATTGTGCTTACCACTCTATTTTTTTAAACTGTGTGTAGAAATAAATGAAATGAAAATTTTATAACTGTTTTAATCATGTCCTAGACACTTGCTCAGTGTTTTATTTGAAATTAAATAAATTATTCATATAGATAGCTGAGATAGATGTCAGAACCAGTAGAGTAGCTTCTCTTGTGCTATCTTTGGTGTCATTTCATGGTATTTATTTACAAATAATACTTCCATATAATAAAAGTTTACAATGTTTAATGGATCTGTCAGCCTGGGGCAGGGGGCGTGGCTGTAGGAAGGATTGTAGGAGGAAATTTGTCTGTTGAGGATCTCTCTGATGTGAATTCCATTCTGGAGCATATTGTGCTTTAGTAAGATTTCCGAGAAGTTATTAATTTTTGTTTTAAAGTTTGATGATTTATTTGGTAAGGGTAGGCAAATGAACAAACAAATGCATGAGCATTTAAGTGGATATTTCAAATATCCACTTAAAGGTGATTTTGACCAAAACAAATACTTTGTCAGTGCTCCATCACCTGCAAGGGAAGGGATGGAGCAGGGCAGTAACTTCAGTCTTAAACTAGCTGTAGAAAACAGCTCACAACCATAGGTGGACAATTATCTACTAGATGTCCTAAGTTTGGTTTGGTCATTTATAGTATATTTGCACACAGTTCTTTAGTGGAACATTTAGGCCTAGCTCAAAAATTATCAGTGAATTGCTGTCTGGTCAGCTAAAACATGTTTTCATTCTATTAGTGATCAGAATGCCATGTCATCTAGTCGGGCACAACAAATGCATGCCTTTTCCTGGATTCGGAGTACCCTAGAGGAACATCCTGAGACTTCACTGCCCAAACAGGAAGTCTATGATGAGTACAAGTAAGTACTATGTGTAATATGGCGTGCTGATGTGTTAAAGAAGTAAAATACTATACTTGGCTATAGTGATTTGTTTTATTATTGGTGAATATAAAGCTGGTATATGGGAATTACACTTAGAAATATCTTAAGATTCATTCCAGCTCTAAGGTTCTATAGTAGTATGTGTAATAAAGGGCAGAATTAATGAATAAAAGGATTTCTATAGACTTCTTCAGGGTGATAGGAGGGAGGTGTCAGGGATTACAAAAACAGTGATGTTGGACTGGTGAATAAAAGGATTCCTGTAGAATTCTTAAGGATGATTGGAAGTACGTATCTGGGCTTAGAGAGTGGCAGGCAATAAATAAGTCAATACAGAAGAAAAAACTAAAACATGATGTTTTACTTGGACTTCTAGGCCCTTTTCATAAATCTAAAACTCTTCTAATTCTCCATACTAAAGAATATTGTATATTATTTATTCAAGGACCAGAGAGTTCAGTGACTTGCACCTATTAGATATTCAAATAAATGTGGTTGTACATACAATTTATTTAAATACAGGAAACTAAAGTATAGAGGCTGATGAGCCCTTCTGGTTAGAAAAAGTTTAATAGGTGCCAAATATAGTCTCGTTTAACATTTTTATAATTGATCTGGAAGGAAAATTTATTCTGGCAGAGCAAATAAAACCAAATTTGGGGGCATATTGCAATGCAAAACCAACAAGCATTAATGTTTTGTACTTACATATTTGGGGAGAAAAGTGTCAAATAAGTGCTGTTGCTCACCAGCATAAGGTGATGTGAAGGAATTGTACATATTGAGATTGGTATCTACTGAAAATTCTTACTACCTTACCAAAAGAAACATAATGGAGCTAGAGAAAAGTCTAGATAAGTGTATCTGAAATGATCAAGCGAACAAAGTTGAACTGAAGAACTCTGGATTTATTTTATCTTTATAAAGATTAAAACTGAGAGTGAATATCATCCAACTTGTTCATTCATTCAGGCTACAACTATCCATTGAATACCTATATGCCAGACCCTGTGATAAGTTCTAAGGATAAGTTATAAGACAGACACAGCCCTTGCCCTTATTAAGTATATATACATTTACTTAGAGTAAGCAAGAATTCTTCATTAAATTCAAGTTAGTTAAAATTGAACACTCTGAAACTTCAAAGAAGCAAATTTAAATTCAGTAAAATGTTACAGAAATCAGGTAAACTTGTGTGACACGTTGAAACTCTAGATTGACGATCAAGAGAAAAGTTTCTGTCATTAAACTTGTGTGATATAGACAATTATTTTAACCACTCTTTGTTGAGTGGTTCATCTATAAAATGAAGCAGTTGAAGATGTATGAGGTTTCTTTTTTGGTTTGGTTTGGTTTTTTGAGACAGGGTTTAACTCTGTCACCCAGGCTGGAGAGCAATGGCACGATCATGGCTCACTACAGCTTTAACTCCCACCTCCAACCCCACCCCGGGCTCAAGCGATCCTCCTGCCTCCACCCTCCGAGTAGCTAGTACTAAAGGCACACACCACTGTGCCCGGCTAATTTTTTTTTTTTTTTAGAGAGAGAGAGAGAGAGAGAGAGTTTTACCATTGCCCAAGCTGAGGTTTCTTTTAGCTCTAAAATTGTAAAAGTTGTTTGAAGTAGAAAATGTTAAAGGACTAATTATCCAAAGATGTCTTGCTGGTTTTCCAAAAGGCACATTGGGCAAATAAACGTATGACATTTCCATAACGGACTAATGAGGGAACACAAGATACTCATATATATTTGAAGTAATGACTTTCCTCTGTACCACCCTTCATACTACCTTGGAGACAGTATGCTGCATTTGTGGAAGGTTGATCCTGGGCGGTGAAAGCAGTCCTTATAGTCCTAAATTCTGCCTTGGGCAAGATATGGTTGTTTTCCTATAATATTTGAATTTTTCCTTGAAATATTTTTATGAGATTCCCATAAATTCGTATGATTTTTCTTCTAAAAAAAGTTAAAAGATTTTTTACACAAAAGAGACCCAAAACATCACATTGTTTGGGAGGAGCAATGAGAACTCTAATTTTGAGCAATTAATTTACAGTTCAGGAGAGAGCAATAGAGGTAAAAGAAAGTGATTTAGATAGGCTAAAGGCAGAAGTAGGTAAGGGAGACTTTTTTAGTAGCATGAATAGGAAATAAATGCCAGTTCTGTTCATGGAGTTGGGGAGAATTATGCTAATGATAATCAGTAGAGTACTATACATAAAATATTTGAGTCTGGGCATTTTAGTCCAAAAAAATTCACTAAGAATTTTTCATTTATTAATGTTGTATTCCCCATAGTGTTTTCACATAGTAGGCACTAATTAAATATTAAGAGTGATTAGAATGGAATATGATACCTGACATTGATAATAAAATTTGTATTGTAACAGACCTTGTAGGTCTTCCACTATGTTCCTATCCTCTTTTTATAGATGAAAACATTGAAACCTAGAGAAATTAAGTGACTTTTCCAGTATAACAGAACTAGTTAGGAGCAGATCTAAGATAAGAACTCAGATCTCATGAGTGAGTTCATAATAGGTTTAGAAGGTAAGCTTGTTACAGTTGAGTAATACCAAATTGCATGGGTAGAAAACACTGGACAAGTAGTTGGAAATACCGCTAATATTATTTGGCCAGGACTTCCACTTGGTGTGGATAAATAAGGTGCTCAGAGTATAAATTAGTTAACATATGGTTAGTATACATGCATACAAATAATGTGGTTATTTAAGAGACACAGCATAGTAACATGACATGCACTAGGAAGAAAATATTGGTGTTTCCACAGAATTATATCATGTAGAAGCTTCAGATTGTTCTGTTATTTGATTGTACATTGCCTAAAACCATTATTTGCCATTTGGGTTTAGATAATTTGAAAGAAATTTTTTTTAAAAATGTAGAAACACTACTGAAAGGCAAAATGTAAATTAAAGTATTAGGAAATAGTTAAAAGTTTTAAAATTATTGTTGTCTAAAGAAAACAAAATAGAATATAGCTATATATTTTAAGAATAAGAGTTTTAAATCACAGGAAACATTTCAGTTAGACACAAAATCATTAGACACTCATTATCCTGTTTAGAGTGCCTACGTGAAATTTCCTGAATAAAAACTTAACATAGAATGATCACTCTTACACTGATGCTGTTTTCAATATTCACTGAAAGAAATGATGTTAGTATATGAGGTATCCCTTTAAGTTATTCATTGTTGTGTATGGACCCTTTCATAATTTCATTGCAGTGTGTTTAGATGTATTGTGTGAAAATCCTTTTAATAGTCATTAAAAGCAAAATCCCTTTGAGGAAAAAAATGAAGATGTAATCTCAGATAGTAATAATTGGCTTCTTTTAACTGTGTTTTCATGCTAAATTAAGATATTAATAGAAATAAGCTTTAAGGAGTTTTCATCGTGCAAAGACAGTTTATGAAATGATTTTGAGCTTTTTTATTTGTTGGAACTTTTGACTTCTAATGTTCACATCCTCAGGAATATTATCATTAATGCAGTTATTTTATACTCTTTTTCTAATTATAAAATGCATATTCATCATGAAAGTTTGGGCAAATAGTTACAAATGGATAAAGAAGAAAAATAGCACCTGTAATCTCACTACCTGAAAATAACCATCTTGCTTTATTTCCTTTTAGTTTTTCTAATGCCTTCCTTAATGTATACATTTTTGTTATTGTTTAACCAAATTTGGCCCCCTGTTGATGCCATTCTTGGGTCAGAGGGTACTTGCAAGTAGCAATGCAGTGAACATCCTTGGCTGTATAATTTAATATAAATTATCAAAATTGAAATTGCTGGCTAAATAATTATTTTTTGTTATTCAATTAATGGATTTCCCTCTGTTATATTCATTCTAGCCTTTTATATGTCCATTTCTTAATGATTATAAATCTTTATATATTAAAAACATTAATATTAAAATGTAAATGTTTTTCAAGATTACTATTTAATTTAATTAATTTTTAAATAAGTCTGATCTATACACTTTTGTCACAGCTTGTAACATTACTATTATGCTTAAAAAAAAAAAATCTCCATGCCACCAGCTGCTAAATACTCACCTAGATATTTTTATTTCATTTTTTAATATATAACCATTGAGTCTATGTGTGATATTTTTTTTTTTAGTAAATTCTATTAGATAAGGTACTTATTTTAATTTTTTCGAAATGGTTACCTAATTTTCCCAGCTTTTCTATTGAATAATTTTTCTCTGTTAACACTAATTATAATGTACTGTCGACTTAATTTTCTTCCTTTATGTTCTCTGTTTTTATGGGAATACTATACTACTTAGATATATTTATACTACTTAAGTCTTTCAGTTATTAAATGTTTAAATAGCTGACAGGACCAGTCTTTCCTCCTTATCCTCTTTTTCACAAATTTCCTTGGTTTTATTTTCTGACCAGTTAATTTTTTTATAGGAAGTTGCTAACCACTTTTCTGATTATAAGAAAGGAAACGCTAAAGGGATTTTGATTCAAACACATTAAGTGAAAATTTTAGAAAAATTAACCTCTGACTAGAAATGTTTCTTAATTTACATGTTTCTTTCATGCCTTCAGTAATGTTTTGCCTTTTTTCCCTTAAGTCCACTTTCTCATTTAACTTACACCTTGGTAATTTTTATTATTTATATTGTGAAAAATGTTGTACTCTTTGTTTTAGTTTATAGGAACTTCCTAGATTTCTGTTATTTTTATGTTGTACATTTTATATTTACTGAATTTTGTTTAGTCCTTATTTTTCAGTTGCTACTTTTGATGTCTTCAGGTAATTTATCCTGTGTATCTATCTTCTTCATTGACTTTACTTGGTTATTACATTTAATAGACTTACCTTCCAGTTCTACATATAGCAGTGAGAGACGTTATTTCCTCTTACAGTAAATTCACTGATGTTAAGTATATATCACTTATAGTTGACCAAGACTTTATTTTCTTTTTAATGA